TTATGTGTGAAAATAAAAAAGTCCAGGCTTTTTTCGGCCCTCACTGTGGTTCGTCTGATGTAATATATTTTGTATTTTATCATAACAAATAAAATAATTATACATAAATGTTGTTATTGATTATCATTAATAAAAATAAACAAAACAATTTCATTTTCATTCCAAATGAGATACAATCTAAAAAAATTTATAAATAAATCATTGTATATGTTAATGTTAACAAGAGAGAAAGGAAAGAAAAAAGAAATATATGTGAAGAGAGGAATTTTCTTTTTTTTTTGTCTTTCTCTCGTCCATAAATCATTGTTCATGTTGTTATCATTGACGATCAATGATCAATATGTACAATTAAATATGTATATCATTTTCGACGAGAGAAAAAAATGAGTTTTCAAGGTATATATACGAATGATTTTCTATGTAAAATCATTCAAATTTTTGAATCAAGTAATAATCATTTTTCTTTTCTGTTTTAGATTGGCTTCAACCAAACAATATGAAACAATTCAACAACAAACCAGGCAATAAAATGAAATGTAGGTATCAGTTTTACTTTTTTTTTATTTTTTTTTATTTTACGATCATAAGGATGGTGGGGTAAGGCCTCCTTTGATCTTTTTATTATTTTTTTATTTTATTTTAGGGAATAAACAATGAAGGAAAAGATAACATTAGAGTAAGTCATCTCATTCTATTTCATTAAATAACATTGATTAAATTTTTTTTTCTGTTCTTTACAGGTATCAATATCATCGCGTCATCAACATCAGACACGGTAAGTAATTTCTTTTAGTTTTTGAGATGAGAATAGGTAGTGAGATTGAGAGGTTAGGGTGACATTAAGAAAAGTGAGTGTTAGTGAGAGACGAGGGTGAGTTCTGTTCGTTGAGGGTTAGGGTTTCGTCTCTTATGAAGGACTTCCGGGTAGTCCCTAAAAGCTCGGCCAGGAACTGTCTTGGTGTCCGTGGCACACGACCAGGCTTATTCAGACTCATTGATATATCTCTCGCGGGGAGGGTATGAATGATATGAGTCTGTCCTGTGCGTGCATGAGCGTTACGCTCGCCACGGCTCCACCAGGATGGTTCCTGGTCGCGCGCGCGAATAGAATAGACATTCATTTCATCAATTCAATGTGATTTATTTGAAACGAAAGGAACGCAAAAAAAAATTATCCATCATTTTGAGTCTATTCAATTGAAAAACGTTGAACACGATTATTATCACGATCGACGACATAGAGATTGCTATGTCGATCGAAGGACAAACCTTCAAGATAGTGAAACTGATTTGCTCCTCCTCCTTCACCATTTCCACCCACAATGACAGTGCCCTGTTTCGCTCCTTTAGGCCAACGCATCACTCGATTATTCCACGAGTCTGCCACATAGATGGTACCCAATGTATCGACGAACAGTCCACTAGGAAACCACAATTGTGTCAGAGCATTCCCTTGTCCTTGACCTCCAGCAACGACAGTTCCTTCTTGTGCACCTTTATTCCATTTCGTTACACGATGATTGTTGTTGTCTGACACGTAAGCAGTCTGTTGTTGATCGACAAAGATGTGGGTCGGAGTGTTGAGTTGATTGAGATCAGCACCATAGCCATTACCACCAGCCACAAGAGTTCCATTCTTGTCTCCTATTTGATATCGTCTTACTTCATGTTTCTTGTAGTCAGAGATGTAGAGATATCTCTGATCATCCATGGCCAATTTATCACACCAGATGTTGTCGATGAGGATTTCTCCTTGAGTTGTACCACTACGACGAGACCATCGTACGACTCGTCGATTCCCCCAATCACAAATAATGAGACTATCCGTCTCTTTGTCAATCAATACATCGGTTGGTCGATCCAATTGGTCCCATCGATTTCCTTGGCCATTACCACCAGCTACTACTTGTCCATTCTTATCACCCATCTCCCATTGGATGATACGATGATTGTTGTAGTCAGCGATGACTATCGTTTGATCATCATCAACGAAGATACCATGAGGCTGGGAGAGTTGGTTGGTAGCACTGCCTTTTCCATGACCTCCAGCAACAGTCACTCCCTTCTGGGCCCATCGGGCATCGGCTGGAATATTAGGAATTACTACAATCAACAAAAAAGAAAAGAAATCGTCGTTGTCGAAGGGATTCCGTCTCTCGTGAGAGCAAGCGCTACAAATATGACATTCATCTTTGAGAATGCTCGTTCCGCAGATAAAAATTCAGAAGTCTTTTCCTAGTTTCTTATGAGAAAAAAAGGATCTGGTAACGATTCTTACATCTATGTTACTTCTAGTTCTTGCCAAGATCTTTTTGATCATAAAAATAACACCTGGAGATTGCTGTAAGAAGGCCCTCGAAGAAAGAGTAATACTAATTTCATGTAAGTTTTTGATAGAAAAACATAAAAATCTGAGGATTTTATTCAGAATTGCAAGAATTCAGAATCTTTTTCGCAGAATGATCATTTATATGAACATCACAGAAGATTCTATCTGCATCTTGTGAGAAGAATATCGAATCGTTGAACAACAAAATATCAAACCTAATCCCTATGTTTTTTAGGAAACCTTAAGGATACATGATTTTCTGTATGATG